CCATCATTGAAACAAGAGAACAGTCCGTTAGATGTACGTCAGATATTGTAAAGGTAGATGAAGAAAGAAACGATTTAAAAAGAGGCAACTTTTCAAAGATGCTATAGTTTCTAGAAACCTCAGATTTTATTAAAATTTGGCTTATGTTTCTCTATTGAGAGAACTATCGCAACTGGCCAATCACTTTTTTAAAAGACATGTCACCATACGTAATCGATGGTGCTGATTGAGAACAGGACAATGAGAGTGACTGTTCGACCCTTAAAGACCGGTTTCAGAAAACTAAATCTCTCATGAAAAGTTTTTTCTTTCAAATTCGATTTCTGATCCTGTCATTTTGTACAGCACGTCGAATTATCTATGAATCTAAATTTTCATGACTATGGGACCTGTTTTGACAGAGTAATGAGCAAGCGAATATGAGTTATTATTCCATCACTGTATACTCTAAAAAAATAGCATGTGCTAGAAAACCCCAAATGGTTCGAACGTATGTCTCTCATCATTTTCTAAATCGAAACGAAAAGATTTAAGAAAACCAGCGGCAGCCTTTCAAAACTAGAACCGGAAAAATCTTCTTTTGTAAGAGTTTTTTTTATTGAAAAGTACGAACTAATCCATGTATCAATTTATTTTTAAAAGGTTAATAAATGAAAATAACGCTACAAATCCGTAAGCCAATAGAGGAACGAAATAGGCAACAGCTAATGATTTTATTAATTCTGACATAAAACCCATAAATGGTGTCAATACTGCTCCACCGACAATAGCCATTACTAATAGGGATCCAGCTAATTTTGTTTGTTTTTCTCCTAAATCTTTTAAACCCAATGCAAATATTGTTGGAAACATGAGTGACATAAAGAAACTTGTACAAAATAAAGAAATTAGACCAACCCATCCCCGAGCTAATATTGCTATGGCTAACAATACCATATTGATTATACTATAGATACCCATGAGTAATTGAGCTTTTATCCAATGTTGCATCAGATAAGCTGAACTAAATCGTCCCACACCAAACATTACCAATGTCCCCGTAAGCCAATATCCCGCCGATTTTTCTTTCATTCGAGTATAATCTTGTGCATATTGAATGAAATAACTCCATGTACAAACTTGTGCACCAATATACATAAATTGTGCTAATACAGAAAGGAAAAAGTACGGACGACATAATTTTTTATTATTCGTATTATTGCTCTCTCCACTATTTGTTGTGACTGTCGCTTGTTTTGTTGTTTGTAGTGTAGGAAATTTAACAAATCCAATAATTATTGCCCATATAAGACTAATGCCACTTAAAACAAAATATGGATAAATAACACGTAATGTTTCCTGTTTCAAATATCGTTCATAGGTACCATTTAGTTTCCTTTGGTTAA